TTCCACCATAGTTTAGTAGTTAGTAAGATGATTAAACTATAATACACAAATCTAAGGTAGGTCATTTACAGTACACCTTCAAGAATGGTTCTAAACCTTGTCAACCAAAGAATTCTTCCGAAATGTCTTTAGTTTCTATAAAATCTCACCCTTCAAGGTTGATCATTACACTTAAAGCACTATAAAACACTAAACAACAACAACAACAACGGTTCTTTTTTTTTTGCTTACTTGGTCAGTGTTATAGATTGAATTTTGTTCCCCCCAAATGCATCAGAATCCCAATCCCTGTACCTGTGGATGTAATATGTAATGCAATGCAATGTAATATAATCACTTTCCACATGTAATCTAATATAATGTAATCACTTTCCACAGTGCAATTGAATGAAATGTATTCAATTAATCAGTTGAGGTCATACCAGTGTAGGGTGGATCCTAAACCTAATCACTTCTGAGTTATATAAAGAGAAGCATAGACACAGACACACACACATACACACAAGGGGGAAGACAGGTACGGAGGGTCATCTGCAAGCAAAGGAATCCCAAGGATTGCCGCAGACACCAGAAACTAGAAGACAGGCTCACAGGACTCAACGTGGCTGAGACCCTGATTTGGACTTTTAGCCTCCAGAACTGTGAGAGAATGAATTTCTGTTCTTTAAAGCCACCCACACGTGATATTTCTGTTAAGGCAGCACCAGGAAACTAAGACGGGTTTAGAAATGTAGTTTTAAAGATCTTATTACTAAAATTATATTTAAGAGTGGAGTGAAAAGATAAGCATGTTTTTGTTAATGAAATGTCTTCTATTATTATTATCGTCATTATTATTTTGACTTAGAAAACCTCAGTAACTAGCAACCAGTTGTCATCGCGTTGATTCTGACTCATGGTGACCTTGTGTGTTGCAGAGTAGAGCTGCACTCCATAGGGTTTTCAAGCCAGTTGAATTTCAAGATGGTTCCTCAGTCACTGGATAATTTCACAACCTCCTGTTAGATTTTGGTTTCTTTGGACACATCCTATCCTGGAAACACAATCTGAGCTCCCTAGTACATTCAGGAATAGTGGATCCATGTCCTTTTTCCAGCTGGTACTGGTAGAGTTTACACATTTACTTGCGCACCTTAGAAGTAGCTACTTGACGTGCTGAAGCGTGCACCCAATTCCGTCACTTTGGCCCAATGGGAAGTCAGTAAAAGGAGGAGACTCTCTCAGCCTGTCCGTATTTAGAAAATTAATCCTTTCAAGTGCTTTTAAAAAAATCTCTACAGGTGGTCAGATCTTATGACCCTAGGACCAGAAATGACCTCATCACCTTCAGCTGGTCTAAAAGTTAGCTTTGGCTGCTGCACAACCCATGAAATCTTGTTAATTATGATTGTTTTTCCTAGTCATAAGCCCTTCTGGATAAATTTTATAAAACATTTATTTTTATGGCTTACATAACTACAGAAAATATTTTCATTGGTGTCAAAATGTCATGTTATTGCCAAACAGATTCTATTTCAATTTCTAA